GCTGGCGCGCCATCCGCGCTGCGTCCCCGACGGCGCGCACCGCCTCCTCTTCTGCCAGCAGCTGGTGCGGTGCCTCGGCCGCTTTCGCTGCCCGGCCGAGGGTGAGGAGGGCGCCGTGGAGTTCCTGGAGCAGGCCCAGCAGGTTAGCGGGCTCCTGGCGCAGCTGTGGCGCGCGCAGCCCGCAGCCATCCTGCCCTGCCTCAAGGAGCTGTTCGCCGTCATCTCCTGCACAGGTGCGTGTGCAGCCCGGGCTGGGGCGGGCACTCGGGCTGGCCTTGGTGCGGGTTGCGCAAGGTGGCGGACTGCAGTGCTCGTTTTTTAGTGAGCAAATCTACCGCGGGCGTTTGCTGTGTGTGTGTGTGTGTGTGTGTGTGTGTGTGTATGTGTATGTGGTGGGGCTGGAAATGCGGGGAGCACACTACGTGGAGCGGAGGATGAGATCAGTTTGGGAGGGCAGAATGATGATGGGTCCTGGGTTTTAGGGTCAGGAAGGCTTGGTCTGGAGTCATTAGCGTCTGACAGTGGGGGAGCTGGAAGGCGATTCCTAAATTCAGGCTCTATCTTTTAAAAAAAAATTTATTTCACGAGTATGCGTGTTCTGCCTGTGTGTTATGTTTGTGCACTGTGTGTGTGCCTGATCCGCTGATATCAGAATAGGGCACTGATCCCTGGAAGTTAAGGATGGTTGTGAGCCACCTTGTGGATGCCGGGAACCGAACTATGTCCTCTGCAAGAACAGCGAGAGTTCTTAACCGCTGAGCCATTTCTCCAGCCCCTGAACTCCTGACATCCAGTTGCCAGCCAGCAGTGGATCTTAGATTCTAGCGTGGATGACTGAGCTGCGGGCTATGATTTTTCTGATCTTAGGACTGTCGTGTGGAGTGGGGCAGGGGGGAGAAAGCCAGGGCCAGCCTCTGTACCATGGCCTGTCTCCTGTACAATTGCACAAGAGTTTGGCATTAAATGTGCCGTCTCACATCCCCCGTTTTGTGTAGCTACACCTGGAACGTCCTTTCCTCCCAAGGCTAGTTCCAGCCTGAACTCTTCCGCAGGGTGTCTCTGCACGTTTGGGTGTCAGCTTATGCCAGTAAAGGGTTTTGAATGACTATGTTAAATGGAATCAGAGGCTTTGATGCTGTACGCGGAGGGGAGGTGGCCCTTTTTATGTGCTATCTGCCTAAGTAGTGAGAGCAGGAGGGTATGGAGAGCTCAGGCTAGCCCTGTTCCAGAGGAAGAGCCACCGTCCAGCGCCTTGGCCAGTGTGGTCCAGCACCTCCCGCTGGAGCTCATGGATGGTGTGGTCCGGAACCTCAGCAATGACGACAGCGTGACCGACTCCCAGATGCTGACTGCCATTAGCAGGTGGGTGCTGAGGTTAGTGGGTGTGGGTGGACTTGTCCCCCACTTCTCTCAGAAGCTCTTATAGGTTGGGGACTCGGGCTCTCCGCGGTCAGAGGCCAGGCTCTCGTACCTGTTTGCTCATCTGTGAGATCTATGGTCCTCCTCTGCTTGGCCTTGGGTTAGATGTGAAGGACACAATCCTGTCCCAGTGATCCCACCAGACTGGGTGCTGGCGTGTGACTCTGAACCCTCGGCTTCAGTTTCCTTCTCTGAGAAGCAGAAGTGCATGGTAGGATGAGACGATAAAGATGGGGGCTGAAGGAGTGCCTGCCCCCGAGGACCTGACTTCAGAATTGAGGAGGCAGAGATGGGCAAATCCTGGGGGTTCGATGACCAGCCAGCTTTAGGCTCTTGGGAAACCCTGAAGACCAGTAATAGAGCAGGGCACCTGCTGTCCGTTAGATTCCGTTCTATAGGCACACACGCATGAAGACACATGCACACACGGTGGAAGTACTTTTTGGCGTACTTTGAGCCTGGAAAAGATCAGAAACAGAGTTTGGGTGCTTTTCAACTCACTGCATCTGTGTGTGTCCCCCTCTTTGGATGTTGTCACCCCGTGAACTAGCTTACACTGCCTGCCTTGTGACCTCTGACTAGGCAGCCTGTACTCCTCTCTTCAGGCCTTGGCCTGTGCAGACCCCACTGACCTGGCATGCCTCCCTCCGCTGTTCTTCCTGTACCCATGCACAGGGCACCATCTCCATTGGGTTCTCCTGGGTTCCTTGTCTTTAGTCGGTGAGGGTGTAGGTGGAAGGGGCTTGTCTTCCAAGAGCCACTCCTGCCCCAGGCTTCTCAACTGTGTGACTTTGTTTCCCTTTCCTCAGCTCTAAACTGATCATCCTTGGGCCCATCCAAGAATGTGTTTGAGGATTAGGTAAAAGTGAGCTGCCTGTGAGGTGCAGCACAGCATCATGGGAACGTCCGCTAGGGCCATTATTCTTCCTCACGGTGGCACCGTCAGCTCAGTATCTGAGCTCGGTGCTGGTTCCTGAGCACTGACCGCGTACTAGCCCCATGCGCAGTCCGACACACGGCCCTGGGGGGGACACTGCAGGCAGGGTCTAGCTGTTGCCCTCCCATGTGATAGTTCTCAGGATGGGGACTGTCTCCATTTGCAGATGAAGTCCAGGCTCAGAGGGGACGTGGCTTGCCCTGGTCCCCAGCAGGGACTTGGTGGAGCCAGAGTTCTCAGCTCAGGCTGGAGCCCTTTGCCAGGATAGCCCGAAGTCCCTCTCCCCCTTCTCCCCCGTGGTCTGGTACAGTGGGTGAAAGGGTCTGGCTTCCCTCTGGAGGACTGTGAGCCATTTCTGCTGGGCATGGGGCTCATTTGCATTTCCAGGAGTGTCCCTTTGTCCCTGTGCGGGTGTGAGTCAGGACTTCCTGACCTGTCTCTGAGTCCCTGGGCTCCTTTACTCTTACTTCTGGGCCTCCCCTGTCCCTGCATCACCGCCAACTCCCCTCACCAGGATGATCGACTGGGTGTCCTGGCCCCTGGGGAAGAACATTGACAAGTGGATCATTGCCCTGCTGAAGGGCCTGGCTGCCGTGAAGAAGTTCAGCATCCTGATTGAGGTTTCGCTCGCCAAAATCGAGAAGGTTGGTGGCCTCTGTCTGAACCTGGGCTTGTGGCCTTTCCCCTGGTCTCTTCTGGGCGCAGTGCAGGCGTGGGGTGCAGGGTCTTGGGGCCACTGTGTGACGGGGCTAATTCGCTGCTCCTCTCTGGGCCTCAGATCGCAGCTCCTTTACCCTGACAGCTCATCCCAGGGCATGTCTGCCCACCCATCGCTCGCCCAACCCTGGCTACCTGCTTCACCATGCATTGCTCCATCCAGCATCGAGGCACGTCTGTCTGTGTTCTTGCGTCCATTGTCAGCCTGTTGTTTTCACTCTACTTCTGGGTCAGCTGTGGCCATACTTGGCTTTGGGTAGCAGCCCGGGTCTGGGGACCCCTGACACGAGCTCTTTTCCAGGTTTTCTCTAAGCTGCTGTACCCCATCGTTCGGGGGGCTGCCCTGTCTGTCCTCAAGTACATGCTCCTGACTTTCCAGCACTCCCACGAGGCCTTCCACCTGGTAAGGGCCCTGCTGCTCTCCTCCACCCGAGACCTAGCATGGTTTTCTGCTGGGAGTTTTGAGGCCAAGCTTTGGGTCTGAGCACAGGAGGCTCAAGGCCCTCCTGCAGAGGTGGGAAACAGAAGCCAGAGGATGTGTGGCTCCCAGGAGCACACTGTAGGATGACAGAGCCGGGCTTGGTGACAGCTACAGTTCTTCCGGGTCATGGGGTCAGGAATTTGCTTCAGGTGCTCGCTTTCCCAGCTCCCAGACACGCCTTCCTTCTTGAGATAAAGAAATGACATTGGCAGAGGGTTGGCAAGTGACTGGTCCCAGAGAGGAGGTGGACAGGGAGGGTTCCAGCTGAGTTTCTCTGATTCCCAAGTCCCTGCCCCTCCTGCCCTTTGTTGCCCACAGCACTCACTGGCCTGGCTTTTAGCTCAGGCTCCCCTTCTTGCCCTCCAGGCTCTCCTCAGCGAGGGGCTCCTTTCGAGACCCTCACATTGGAGCTTTAGTTTCCACGGCTCCTGGACAGGGCAGTAGCTTTGCGCTTTCCAGTTTGTCGAGATGAGAAAAGATCAGGACCAGGGATGAGGACCAGGTGTGTCGCTATGGTGACCTTAATCTGGGATGGGGTAAACCCCAAGGATGGTAGGGGAGGAATGAGGTGGTCCCTGTCTAGAGCCTGCCACGTGTGCACACCGGCTTCCTATTCCTGGCCCTGTGTTCCTGTGGCCCAACTCCCCATTATGATGTTGGGATGTCAGACCCTAAGGGGCTTGAACAATTGAAACTCCTAACGTTGCAGAGCTGAGTGGGCTTTGAACTGAGATGGACCCGATCCAGACACCATGAAATCCTGACAGATTTCAGAGCCTATCTGGGCCCCAGGAGGCAGGGCTCAGTGGCAGCGCTCTTGCCTGGCACGCACAAGGCCCTGGCTTCTGTCTCCAGCACCATCAGCCCCCACCCAGTCAACCATAACTAGATGTTTAAGCTCCTCAGCTCACTCAGGTGCCTGACGCGGTCTGAGCCTCAGCTGCTGGGCAGAGACGCCTGTGGCCGCCGGCTGGTTGGGTGAGGCTGAACAGCTAACCTCAGCTCTGAGGAAGGAATTGTTTATCTTGCTTTGCAGATAAAGAGACTGAGGCAGGGAGTCTTAGAGCTTGTAAGGAAGATGACTTTGCGTGTGGTGCTCAGCTGTCCGTAGTGAAGGAGGACACGGGTCACATGCGTGTCCCCTCCATCCGCAGGGGCCCCCTCTTTCAGTTGAGCCTCAGATGGGTAGCCTGGCACCCGCGCTAACTCCCCTCTTCTCTTGTAGCTTCTCCCTCACATTCCTCCCATGGTGGCCTCTCTGGTCAAGGAGGACTCGAACTCCGGGACCAGCTGCCTGGAGCAGCTGGCAGAGCTGGTCCACTGCATGGTGTTTCGGTTCCCAGGCTTCCCAGACCTGTATGAGCCTGTCATGGAAGCCATTAAGGTGAGTGGACAGCCTTCTCTGAGGCTATACCATGGCTTGGGAGTAGCTTCCATTACCCGAACCCCTGCTGTTTCTTGTGACCTGTCTGGGGCCATTGCGTGAGTCAAGAATGTGTGGGTCATCTTTTCTCATGTGTGTGTCTCCGGGCCTCTGTGTGGGCTGCTCCTTCTGTAAGCCCCTTCCTTCACCTGACCCGTAATAGGTCACAGCACCTACTTGCCATTAGATGTGGGCTCCAGGGTCTCGAAGACTGCCTTCAGGGAGCCTTCCCTGGGCTCAGTGTCCGCCTCACTTCTTCCTCAGGTTTCAGCAGGGCCTTTCGGTGACTCCTGCAGTACTGGCACTGTGTGTCACATCTCCCGAGCACTCCAGAACAGGGGTGACACCTGGCTAATAGGGCTAGGCTGGCGTCCTGCCCTCAGCCAAGCTGAGGTTGGGGTCTGGGGACCCAGGCACAAAGCAAACCAAGATGCCTTCTGTAGGAGCTTTTGGAGGCCATTGGGGCAACAGATCTGCTTACAGGAAGTCTAATCTAAGGACCACTGATAAAGGGGGAGGGTCCAGGTGGGGAAGAAGTCCTCTTTCAGAGGCTCTGATGTGATGCTCACTCCCACAGCAGACCCGATGCCCAGGACACTTCTCTACAGAACATCCGGGCATGTGTGTTCAGACTTAGAGACAGCTTTTCTAGTGTGTGTGTGTGTGTGTGTGTGTGTGTCTGTCTGTCCATATATGAAGAGGGCATCATAACAGATATCTTTTAAAGGACAGAGCTGATCTTGCAAGAGAATTGAGGGGAAACCTCCAGGGAGCCCCAAAGGAAGAGAAAGCTGAGTTCCCAGATGGTGAGGGGGGCCGAGGATGATGCCTTGGAGCCGGGGTAGGAGGATCAGTGACGTGGCCAACTTCAGGCACAGAGGGGCTTGAACTGGTGTCGAGAAGCCCCCATTAACCTCCACTACGGAGTGGTACTGTGAAGCCCCTCGAAAGCCAACAAAAAGGCTTCAGTGTTGATAGGAAGAGTGGTCTAGAAAAAAAAATACATGCGGTCCAAAACAGAAATTGGAAAAACTTTTCTGACTTGATGTAGACCCTAGATAGGAAAAAAATTAAAAGAATTTGTAGCCACCAGGTTTAGGGTTTGAAGATCAGACACTTGGTGGTGTTGTGGGTATTGTTATCTGTGTAGGCCTTGATTTAAAAAAGTATAAACTCACAATACCCAAGGGCTGTCTGGTAGACATAAAACAAGCCAGCAATATCAGGCTGTATTGTAGATGAGTTAATCTAGAAATTACTGTTGTAAAATCCTTCCCAGGAGCCAAAAGCTATGTCTATCCGTTCCCCCCTCCCCCACACCCCACTTCTTTCAAGGCCCCAGTGACAAACCCAGGCGAGTCTGCCAAAGTTCACTCCTGGGAACCAGCGACTTTATAGGCTTCTCTAGAGAACATAGGAGGGAGGAGGGGCTATTGACAGGGTGTGGTGATCCCCCTGTAACTGCACCTGGAAAGCCTTTACCCAGCAGAGATGAGGCCTTCTCTGTGGCCATATAGGTATAGCCCCTCTAGTCTTCCCTAACCGGTAGACTCTCGCCTCTCCTTAAGGCCGCGTGCAGTTAAGGCAGAGGTGTGTACAACAGGTGGTGGGTGGTGGGGAACTTCCTGGAAAGAGTAGTTTGTTAGGGTCTGGAAGACACTTCAGAGAACTCGCGGGAAGGGCCCACAGGGTGGGGAAGGTGAGTCTAGTCTGGTAATAGCCAGTGGTATGCAGGGGGCCTCAGAAAGGCCTTGAATCCAGGCAGAATCTCTCTTCTTTGCTTAGTAGATCTGAGTTGCCCAGGCTGGCCTTGAACTTGAACTCTTCCTTCAGCAACCACCCACGTGGCTGGGACGACAGGCAGCCTTTTTTTTTTTTTTTCTGTTTTAAAAAGTGTCATCCATGAGAGGTGACTGGTGTACCCGATAAATGATCCTGGGGAAGGATCAACAAGAATGTTAACAGTGTGGTCAAGGCTGGATGGGGGCTCAGGCAATGTTAGCTAGCACAAAACTCAGCTGCCTTGAACTAATCTAGGGCTTTGTGCTCAGCCGGAAGGATGTGCTGGTTCATTTTATGTCAACCTGAAGCAAGTGTGCTTTGAGTAGGTGAGACCTGCATGGACTCATGTTTGGATGCTTGGCCCATAGGGTTTGGCCCTCTTAGGAGGTGTGGCCTTGTTGGAGGAAGTGTGTCCCTGTGAAGGCAGGCTTTGAGGTGTCATAGTGGCTCAGGCCACTCCCAATTTAGCAGTCGCTCTTGTCGGTGCCTGTGGATCGATATGTAGAACTCTGTTACCTTTCCTGCGTCGTATCTGCCTGGATACTGCCATGTTTCCCACCATGATGACATGAAACCGCAAACCAGCCCCAGTTAAATATTTTCCTTTATAAGAGTTGCCCTGGTCATGATGTCTCCTTCCAGCAGTAGACACCTGAATTAAGATGCCATGGCAGAGTCATCAGAGAGGGAGCCTCCTTGAGAAAATGTCTTCAGAAGATCCTGTTGTAGGCAAGCCTGTAGGCATTTTCTTAATTAGTGGTTGATGTGGGAGGTCCAGCCCCTTGTGGGTGGGGCCATCCCTGGGAGGGTGGGAGAGTGGTCTTGGGTTCAATTAGAAAACAGGTTGAGCAAGTCATGAGGCGAGCAAGCCAGTTACCAGCACCCCTCCATGGCCTCTGCATCAGCTCCTGCCTCCTGTGTCTCGCTCTACCTTAGTTCCTGTGCTGACTTCCTTCAGTGGATGTGAAGTGTGAGCCAAATGTGCCCTTTCCTTCCCAAGCTGCTATGGTCATGGTTTCATCACAGCAACGAGAACCCTAACAAGGACAGAAATTGGTGCCAGGATTGTGGGGCGTTGCTGTGACAGACTTGATCATGTTTTTAGGGGGACTGTGGAAGGACTTTTGAAACTTCGGTCAAGAAAAATATTAAGGGCTCAATGAACTCTTCAGTGGGAACGGGAAAGAAAAGCTAGAAACTGTCGATAGGAATGAATGCAGACAGTGGAGCCTGGCTTGTGAAGGTCCGGAGGGAAGATTGAGAGTTGCTGCAGGACTCTCCAGGACATTGAATATTTGCTATTTTGAATTCAGATTCTGTGACATTATCTGTGATTGAGACCAGCATCACTGAGGTGAAATCTGGGAAGTGTTTCCTGAGAGTCAGCACACGGAAGCTGTGTGTGCCAGAGGCAGCCAAGGTTGTACCTCGTGCTGGCAGCTGAACTTGGTAGTGTAAGTCTCCCAGGTGGTACTGGTTTTGAAGGCATGAGGGGGTCGTGGAGAGCAGCTGAGGCTTGGCACTGTGAGAGGTCAGGAGAGGCTGCTGAGGAAGGTGTTCCATCAGGAGCAGTTGACAGCCCAGGATCGAAGGGGTCCTGCAGAGAAGGCGAGGCTCCGCGCCAGGAAGAGCGCCCAGGAGACACTAGTGAAAGTGAGGCCCAGTTGCAGCAGAGACTCCAGCATTCTGGAGGTACCAGTATCTAGCTTGAATGACCACCAGGAACAGCGCCAATGGTGGAGTGGAGCTAGCTGGTGCCTGAGAACATAATCCGTGAGCTGCGGAGGAAGGAACTAGAGATGATGGCCCAAGCCCTTTGGGAGGAGTCCAGAAGATTTTGAGTAGATCCCAGGCAGTGGATGTTAGGGTTTACATAATGGAGTTTGGTTTTGATTTGATTGTAAATGTGCCCTGGTTCTTCCCTCTTGAAATAAAAAAGTAACTAATTTTTGATTTTATAGGATCCCACAGTTGAGACTTTGGGTTTTAAAAGAGGCTTTGGATTTTTTTTTTTTAAGAGGATTTTTAAAGTGATTGAATTTGTAAGACTGTGGGACTTGTAAGTTAGAGATTGAAAGTTTCAGAGTATTTCACAGTGTGATGTTAAAATTTGGGAATGCACACGAAGGGAAAAGTTGTGGCTTAGTGGATGTGTTTGTGTCAGGTTGACAAAGGGGCCATTACGCTGGCTCATTTTATGTCACCTTGACCCAAAGTAGAATCGTCAGCAAGGGGGGAATCTCCAGTTGAGAAAATGCCCCAGATCTGGCTGTAGGCAGGCCTGTGGGTATTTTCTTAGTGATTGATGTGGGAAGGGCCAGCCCATTGTGGGTGGGGCCATCCCTGGGCTGGTGGTCCTGGGTTCTGTAAGAAAGCAGGTGGAGCAAGCCAGTAAGGAGCACCCTTCACGGCCTCTGCATCAGCTTTTGCCCTGAGTTCCTGCCCTGTTTGAGCTCCCATGCTGAGTCCCCTCAGTGATGGAGTGTGGTGTGGAGGTGTGGGCCAGCTAACCTTTCCTACACGAAATTGCCCATGGTCATGGTGCTTCACCACAGCAATGGGACCCTAACGGTGACTAGTTAGAGGACGTGTTGGGAATGCCTTGATATCTATAGCAGCGTGCTGTGCTCAGATGCTTGTCTCTGATGTCACTAGAACTGGTGTCAGGCAGCCTCTTGGTGCAACTGTTGAGTGTGACCAAAGATAGCCTGGGAAAGCATGCTGAGCCCTGGGCCTGTGACAAAGGACGACCTCGGAGGCCTGGACCTCTCACGCTGTTGCAGGACCAGTGCCGGGCATGACTGATCTGCCTGGAAGCTGGCTCTGTAGTCTCACACTGGGAGGCAGAGTGGGGTCATCACTGCGACCCATAGAGTGCCAGACGGATGGAGGGAAGGGTATCTTCTGAAGACACCGAGGCACCTGGCAGTCAGTAGACTGAATCAGAGGCTTACTAAGCACTCTCACCTGCTGTGGCGAGAGCTAGGGCTGGAACTGAGGTCTCGACACCACTAGATCTGGCTGACGGCCAGTGCCATCTTGGCTTAGCATGTCACCCCTGGGCTCTGCCCGTAGCAAACGTGTTAGTTGCCTACTGTGTTACGGGACTACACAGTCCTTTGCTCTGCTGAATCCTAGTTTTTTCATCTCTGAGGTGGGGATTGCTCCTTCAGACGGCACCTGAAAGGTGGCATAGAAGCCTCTCACGTCAGAATGAGACCCTGGCATGAGCTGTAAGCAGGGGCTGCGCAAACACCTTTCCAGATGCCTCTGAGTGTGTGCTTGGGGGAGAGCGGTGGAGTCGGCTCTGCAGCTACCACTGGTGTCTGCTGTTCCTCCTCAGGACCTCCACATTCCCAATGAGGACCGTATCAAGCAGCTGCTGGGGCAGGACGCCTGGACCTCACAGAAGAGCGAGCTGGCTGGCTTCTATCCCCGGCTCATGGCCAAGTCAGACACGGGCAAGATTGGCTTAATCAACCTGGGCAACACATGCTATGTGAACAGTGTCCTTCAGGCCTTGTTCATGGCTTCCGAGTAGGTGCTCCTCTGCTTTGCTCTCTCTGTTTCATCTTCCCTCCCTGCCTCCCTCCCTCCCACCCCCCTCCCACCCTTGACAGGTTCTTCCTCTGTAGCCTAGGCAAGCCTGCCTCAGCCTCCTGAGTGTTGGTATTGTGGGTGCAGCTGCCACATCTCCTTTTCTGCCATTAAGAAAGTGCAGTGTCCATCACCCAATCACCCGTGGCTCCTGGTACATCTTGTGGCTTGCTTGCCACGTTGAGCACCAGATGAAGATGGACGCTTAAAAGAAATCCCACACTAGCTCAGAACTGAGACTAATAGAGAGTTATTTATTTAGGGGTAGACTCACAAGTCACAAGCCTTCTGCTGGAAGGGGGAACAGCAACCAAATCCCGCAGTCAAAAAAGAGGCCGGATGCTTGCTTTACATAGGCATAAATAGTATAAGGGGCCACGCCCAAGTGGGCGGGTAACTTAAAGGCTACTGGCTGTAGGATTTCCCACAGCACCCTCAGGCCTCCATCTTTGGCTCTGGGAAGAAGAGCTCTTTCTGGCGTGCCTCTAACCATCAGTTTTCTAAGCTACGCATGGGCGCCGGTGTTCTCACTGCCTGCTGGGGTGAACTTGGTGGTGGTGTGCTTCCTGCAATGCCCACACGATGATGATGTAAAATATAGCAAAAGGATTGGCTGAGTAAATCCCTTGTGACTGTGTGAGGTCTTGTGGTGTTAAGATGCTACAGCCCTCTGCCTCTCACTGTCTGCCTTTAACCTTGTCTGAGACCTGCCGTGGAGCGCCGGGTGCTGCCCTCTGGGCAGTGGCTCTGAATGGAGCAACGTGGGACTGACCTGACCTCCTGCTGTGAAGGAAGGCAGCGTGCTTCAGGGACAGTGGGTCTCAGGACACCCTGACCCCACAGGCTCCATGCAGTGCCAGGGAAAATCTTCTTTTAGAACCTGCCTGGTTTGAGGGCAGAGACTTACTTAACTCAGTGTGGCTCTGGGCCAGGGCCCTGAGCAGGGGCTGCAGGAATGGGTTTGAGGGCTGAGGTTGGGAGTGAACGAGTCCTTGTTATCGTGTGGAGCGTGCCAGTGCGTGGGGTGATGCTATACCTTCTGGAACGCTGGTGTGCCCACCTTCGAAAGCTGGCATGTTTGAGTCCTGGAGTCATGGGGTGTCGGAGCTGGGAGAGAGGGCAAGGGTCACCTTGTTATTCTGTTTGTTGTATCCCAAGGCCATTACAGAATTCATGGCCCCAGCCACACCAGACCAAGTTGTTCACCATCTTCTCCCTGGTCTCTGGTCTCATCTGGAGCAAATGCCAGAGACTCTGGTCGGCCTGGGTAGGGGAGTAGCGGCTCCCTGGGGCCTTGGCTTACCCTGGGCTCCTGTTTCTTTTGAAGCTTTCGACACTGCGTGCTCCGCCTGACTGAGAACAACTCGCAGCCCCTGATGACCAAACTGCAGTGGCTGTTTGCCTTCCTGGAGCATAGTCAGGTGCGTGCTGGGCACAGTGGGGCGGGGCGGGGAGGCAGTGCCCGGTCCTGCCGACACTGTTCCTGTCTCCAGGACTTGCCTTTGCCTGGCTAGAAGCTTCCATTGCGTGGATTGAGCTGCTGAGCCCCAGCCCCTGCTGGCAGCAGTTCATAGCCAAACTTCCAGGCCCCTTCAGTGTCCTGATGCAGGGGCTGCAGGTGGCGCCTCTTCCTGGGCTGTGCCACACCAGCCTCCCTGCAGAGTTCAGTCCTGGGCACTAATGCATTCTTGTCTGCTAACTGTGAACACCTCGGTTACCTGGGTCTCTGACCCGAGTATAGAACCCAAAGCCTGAGGCTGGGGATGTGGGAGAGCTTCTCTCTGGTGCTGGAAAGGGGAGAACAGGCTGGGTGGGGTTGATGGCTCATGGAGGGCGCAAGGCCTTGGGAAGGTGTCATGGAGGAGGCCTCTGTGCCCTGGGGACTCATTTTCGCAAAGCAGGGGATTAGGCAGAGAAAATAATGAACAAAGGCCAGGAGAGACTTATGTGGTCTGTGAGGGCAGAGCAGATTCCTAGAGAGTTATCACCAAAACGATGACGCCCACTCCTGGACTGCTTGGACCGTGGAATGGGATGTGGGTCAGGACCAGCTGGGAGGGGAAGGGTAGGAGACTACCGTATTTAGAACATCATATAGATAGATCTCAGGCATGGCAGACTGCCTGTTGCCGGGCATGTGGCTTGATCTCCTGACCCCACCTTTCACTTGCCTTGTCCTAGAGGCCAGCCATCTCTCCCGAGAACTTCCTCTCTGCGTCCTGGACACCCTGGTTCAGCCCTGGAACCCAGCAGGACTGTTCGGAATATCTGAAGTACCTGCTGGATCGGTAAGGAATGCGGTGTGGGTCCTGAGAACACTCGGGGCGACAGCTCGTCCCTCTGAGCGGGGTTGGATCTTCCTTGCTGTTCTGAAGGACAGAGAAGGTGTGGACCATAGGTGTCCAAAGATTCTAAAGTACATGTGAAGCCCGGGAGGGGGCTGTCAACGTGTGCATGAGTATCCAGTGTGCCACGTGAGCCTGCTAATCCTCATCACACAGTTCTAGGGCCACCTTTACGTAGGCGTGTGCTACGCGAGTGTGTCAACACAGAAGTACAGGGATGGGAATTGCTTTGGCGGGGTTCTTACATGTGTCTGAAGCATGGCGGGCAGTGTGCTGGAGGCGGGCCTGCCTGTCGGTGTGTACACCCTGCCTCTCTGCTTGTTCCAGGCTTCATGAAGAGGAGAAAACCGGGACGAGGATCTGTCAGAAGCTCAAGCAGTCCAGCTTGCCCTCCCCACCGGAAGAACTCCCTAGCTCCCATACGACATCTGTGGAGAAAATGTTTGGAGGCAAGATCGTGACTCGGATATGCTGTCTGCACTGCCTCAATGTTTCCTCTCGGGAGGAGGCCTTCACAGACCTCTCTCTGGCCTTCCCTCCTCCCGAGCGATGCCGGCACCGCCGCCTGGGCTCGGTGATGCTCCCCACAGAGGATGTGCGAACCCAGGAGATGGCACTGGCCACTAGAGCCCCGGCAACACAGAGGCAGAGGAAGCACTGTGTCACAGGGGATGCTCCCTGCACTGGGCTAGACATAGAAGGGCTGGGCATCATAGGCACCGGTGGACAGAGTGGGCAGGAGGAGAAGGTGGAGAGGGAGCAGGCCGGGAAGGAGAAGGAGGCAGCAGAGGAGGAAGAAGAGGAGGAAGGAGCAAGGGAAGAGGAGAAAGAGCAGGGGGAAGAAAAGGAGAAAGAGAAAAAAGAAGACGAAAAGGAAAAGGAAGCCGAGAATGGCAAGGAGAAGGAGGGGGACAGCTCGGGTCCAGGGACCCACAGGGATGCCGCGGTCCCGCCCAGGGAGCAGGTATGTGGCCCTGAGGGTTCCCGCTCTGTACTGGACCTGGTCAACTACTTCCTGTCCCCGGAGAAACTGACAGCGGAGAACCGTTACTACTGTGAGTCATGCGCCTCCCTCCAGGATGCGGAGAAGGTGGTGGAGCTGAGCCAGGGTCCACGCTACCTCATCCTTACACTACTGCGCTTCTCCTTCGACCTGCGCACCATGCGGCGCCGCAAGATCCTGGACGATGTCGCCATCCCCCTCTTGCTGCGCCTGCCGCTGGCCGGGGGTCAGGGCCAGGCCTATGACCTCTGTAGCGTGGTGGTGCACTCTGGGGTGTCCTCAGAGAGTGGCCACTACTACTGCTATGCCCGGGAGGGCGCTGCCCGGCAGAGCCCCGTCCTGGGGTCCACGGACAGGCCTGACCCTGAGAACCAGTGGTACCTGTTCAACGACACCCGGGTGTCTTTCTCGTCCTTCGAGTCCGTCAGCAACGTCACCTCCTTTTTCCCCAAGGACACTGCCTATGTGCTCTTCTACCGCCAGCGGCCCAGGGAGGGGCCTGAGGCCGAGCCTGGGTCTCCCCGAGTCCGAGCAGAGCCCACCCTCCACAAGGACCTGATGGAGGCCATCTCCAAAGACAATGTCCTCTACCTGCAGGTGAGTCCTTTGCTGAGGGTCAGTAGAACTCCGGACACCCGATGCCACGCTGGGTGAGGACCTGGCCCGGCGCAGTCACCCACATAGGCCAGCTTGTTCTTCCGAGTCATTCTTAGTTTTAATCCATCCACTTAGTGGAGATCCGTGCTTAGTGAGGGATATGTTGGCGGCTGGAAAGGCACACCCCTTAACCTCAGGAGTGAACCCTGAATAACAGCACACACTGAAGCTGCTAAGAGTGGGATTAGTAGGCAGGGACTGCTTCTGGGGTTCCTAGGGGGTCCACTTCTTCAGTGGCCTTCATGTCTCAGTGTTCTCCTTTGTCCCCGCCTCAGGCTCCCTTATCAGAGTCCAGAGCCACGGGGCGGCCACGGGGCTCTGCGGGTCCTGCACCTAGAGTTGGTGTTTCCTGTGAGGACCGGGAGGGCATGGGACATCAGCCTGCTTCTACGTTTGCTTGGCCCTGCAGCGGAGATGCGGCTTGGTCAAGTCTGAGAGAGGCTGATCTTACTTTAGCAGGGAAGGACCTGCTCATGGGCAGAAGATGGGCCTCATACCCCAGGAGAGGCAGTGAGGGGCAGCTGGAGGGCTTTTCTCGAGGTCCCAGGCGGGTTCTCAACTGGTCATTATCCTAGTGATCAATGGGAGGAGAGTGTAGAGTTTGAATTAGACCTGAAGTTCTCCATCCTGCTCCTGGGGGGGGGGGGGGGGGCGGGGATGGGGAGGGGCCTGGAGTGCTGACAGCGTTGTGCTCCGCCTACTTCCTGTCCTCATCTGTTTCCAGGAGCAGGAGAAAGAGGCCCGGAGCAGAGCGGCTTATATCTCTACACTCCCTGCCCCTCCACACTGGGGTCGGGGCTTTGATGAAGACAAAGATGAAGATGAAGGCTCTCCAGGGGGCTGCAACCCTGCAGGTGGCAATGGTGACTTCCATAGACTGGTCTTCTAATGGGAACTCCCACCCATGGGGGTGTCGCAGTCAACCTCAAGAGTGGGGCCAGGTGGGGCTCAGGGCCCCGGGCAGAGCCCTCTGCCATCTGGGGTCTTAAGGAGCTGCGGAGGCAAGCCCAAGGTGAAGCAGGTCCTTTCGAGGGCAAGGAGGATGGAGAGGGACTATCTGGGATGTCAGCCTACAGCTGAGGGTCACAGAGAAGCTGAAACCCAAAGCTCCTTAGGCAGCATCCTATTAAGATGTTACGGGAGCAGCCTGGATGAGCCCACTCTGGGCTTTGCCTCCCTGCAGGCCCAGGCAGCTCAGGAGCCAGGGTGGTGTCCGTTTGGTGTCCTGCATCCGGAAGCCCTTCCTTCTGTTCTAGTTTCTTCACCCAGTTCTTCCTCGGTATGAGAAAAAGCACAGCTCAAGTCAAGCCCTTGCACCAAGGAGGGGACTGTGTTCCCTCTGCCTGTCCTCTTGTTTCTTCAAGGGGGTCCCTAAAACGAGGTCTGTGGGTGCCTACACCCGCCGTGTGTTTCTGAGGCATTAGTGGAAGGCAGCATAGCACAGGATTGGAGGTAAGAGTCTTACCTGCCCCCTCACCAGGCAAGCCACTGGGAGAGCCCCTCCCCTCCCCTCCACTCCCTTCCCCCGCCTCAGTGCCTGAGATGCTGCCAGTGCATCGCCCGGCTAGTTAAGGTCCTGAGTCCTTACCCTACTGAAGACATTAGTCTGTCGAAAGCCATTGTCATTTGAGGAAGCTAGCTGGCTTGGCTCCTCTGCTAGAATGTGTGGGCTGGGTAGGTATGAACTGTGTGATGCACACGACCTCACTGTGCCCTGAGACTACTATAGCCCCTTCTCAGTGGAGAAGAAACCTGTGTTCTTAATAGGAATAAAACTCGCTTCTCTGAAGCCTGTTCAGGCTGCTGTTCTTCCCGCTTGAGCTGCGGCGTCTGCCATCCCCTGGGATGCTTGCTTGTGTCTAAGCAGTTTTGACAGAAACTTGGGCCCCCCCGATAGGTAAGGTGAGGATGTGCCCATGACCTGGGGACTTTAGATGTAGCAAGGAGGTGCTTGGTGCTAGGTCTTGGAGGCTCCAGAGCTGGCAGCCTCCTGGGGTAGAGAGAGCAAGGGTGTGGCTGGGGATGCTTCATGGGATAACTTGAAGCAGACTGGTTTGCTGGGTAAACACAGAAACCCAACAATGACTTTTCAGATTCCGAGAATTCTGAGCTACCTGGAAACCTCTGTCATCACTGCCTTCCTCTGTCCCTTCTCTGAGAAGGAGGTCATAGCCTGTGCCTGGCTAGACGAGGTGTGGGCTGAGACAAACTGGGAAGCAGGTCTCCGACACTCCAGAATCAACATCTCTTTTTAAAAAGATTTTATTTTTTTTTTTATTGTATGAATGTGTGTCTGTGTACCATGTCTGTGAGGAGGCCAGTAGAGGGCGCCAGCTCCCCTGGAACGGAAGGTACAGGTTGTTGGGAGCCACATAAAGTGGGTGTTGGGAACCAAACGGCTGAGCCATCTCTCCAGTCCCAATATCCAGCTCTTTCCCTGGGTTCCCGTCACAATCTTGAAGCCGAAGAGGGACACTGGGCGGCTGTGAGTACAGGGAGGGTCTGGGACTGGGCTGCACCCCATGTCCCCCTCCATGCTACCTCGTCCTCTTAGGAACAAAGCGGCTTAGAGGTCATGATGGGGCTGTGACAGGGCTTTCGTGGGCTGCGGTAGAGGTTTTGGTCCAAATGCCGGACTCCCGAGCTGTCAGGGAAACTGATCGTCCTGCCCCTGCTTCAGCTTCTGGAGTTCTGGATTACAGATGTGCACAACCATTAATGCCAGATGCTGGCCTGAGAAAGGAGGGTCCGTCCCTGTCCCTGGCCTGGCTCCAGGGCCTGTTTGTCAGAGGTGTGGCCGTATGACAGCGTCAGTCCCGAGACCGCCCAGGATGGGACAAGAGTAAGTTTCCGCGCCCTGAAGACCATCTCCAGCAGCCCACTCTGGGTGACTCCTAAAGGACTTTATTGTCCTGCTTCTTCTACACGAAGAAAGGGCCTGCCAGCTCCAGGCCTGTGCCACCTGTGGTCACCGCCGCAAAAACACGACTCACTTGAACACGCTTCCCGTCCCACCCCCAGACCTCACATGATAAATACATGTTACAATTTTTTTTGAAAACAGAATAAATTAATAACTTAAGTGATTAGGCACCAACAATAATTTTGAAAAATTAAATGTCAATCTTAAACGGGAACAAGACACGAATGTAAGACTAGGCTTGCTTCTACTTCATTTTCTCTTCCTGACAGTGACAGTCCTGTGTGAAATGGTTCTAAGTTTCAAGACACAAGTAGCCAATAGGTTACACAAGAACACACACCACCAGATACCACGACAGCACAAATCGCCACCAGGCGCTCCTGTCAAGTCTGGCTGCTCCTGCCGGGCCCAGGGCCCAAATATGGCAAGTCCAAGAAAGATGGCCCTCTAAGGTTAGCCTGCTTCTCCACACTTCACAGCCAAAGGCCCAAATGGAAAGAAAGCTACTTCTCAAAGCCTGCAAAACTCGGCTGTAGGGAGGGGGAGAGGGGTCATGGCTGGGACTGTAGCCACTGGAAGATATAGAGGGTCCAAAGGCAGACTGGACCCAAACCCACGTTCAGTAGCTTCAGAGTGGTTGTGCTTCGATTCTGGGAGTGGGGCTGATCTTCATGGAGTCAAATACAGCTACAAGCAAAATACAGCTAGGGGAGGGGTGGAGTAATTTAGCTAATGTTCTGTGCTGCCCCTCCCCAGTGACCCAGACCTTCAGAGGATCCCCCGGGTTCTTTTTACAGCCACAGAGCATCAGCTGTGACTACCACCCCAGGTCAGACTGGCGAGTCTCAGGGAGATGACATCTCCTTCCTTCACAGAGGGCGGAGCTGGAGGAGCCCCTGCAGGACAGGACAGGTACTGCTGGGAGCTATGCTAGCTAAGAGGCGATGAGTGGTTTTGATCTCATTCCTTGACAGCCACCAGGAGAGGTGAACTTTGACCCATGGGTAGGCCAAAGGATTTTTTTTTTTAAAATGGAATTGGCTTTTTCCTATTCGGGGGTTGGAGGATGGGTTGGTAGGTTTATTAGACATGGTTAGGAGTTGGAACCAGAGCAAGACTAACTAGACTTGAACACCTGATTCAGTCTTGATAAATGGCAGCCAGTTCCACACTCAGCTCAGAACACGCACTCCGGGGCGGCTGCTGAGGTCAGGGATACCTGGACCTGCTGTGAGCTTCAGCAGTATCAGCCAGAGCTTGGACACATGGGAGCCCTGTTGGAGAGTCTTAAAAGGGTACCATGAGAATCAGGGAAAGCCAGTACCCTGTAACCCTGTTCAGTGTAACCAACCACAGCCCCCTCTCACTCAAGGGGGACAGCACACACTTCTGCGGCTGGCTTCACACCTTCAAACACCTTCTGTTCTCTTCTGTCTTCTCTGGGACCCAGCCCCACCTACCTTTCTGTAAGACTCACTCTGCTCTCCCCCTGAGGCCTCCCTCCCCAGGGCACAGTCTCCCTCCCCTTCCTCTGTACTTTAAAATTCCTAGTCTTTGTCTTACTTTTCTCACTGATTGTGACCTCCAGTTAGGGACAAGGTAGGTTTCATCTGTAGCACAGGGCTTGGTAGCCATTACTAAATAACCCATCCTCCTGGGATTACTGAGGGGGAGGTAAGGTGTGCCCCTGGTTGCTGAAAGGCCCTGGTTTTAGAGGACAGTGGTCTGCTCATCCAGGACAGAATGAAATGATGGTTTGCCCCGTTTTCTCTGAATTTCACACAAACACATTCAGATCTCCCTGCCATATCTTAGGAGCCTTAGGGAACGTCTGCTTTTCATCCCTCTGCCGCGTGGGAGGAGAGGGATACTCTCGACCATCCCTGCAGAGAAGGGAGCTGAGAAGATCTGGCTGGTCCCTTGGTCAGAGGTGCCTCTGTCGGGCACAAGCCATGACCCATGTGGTCCCTAGATTTGATTAAGTGTGGCTCCTTCCCATCCTGCTTCCTGCTATACCCCTGCATGTGGCCTTGGGCTCACCATCAGGCCCTTGGGACAAGCCTGCCTCCCCAGCTCCTCAGCCACCTCTGCACCCTCCTACCTCCTAGAAACCTTCCTGTGCCGTCGCTGCCAGTGTCCCTGCGTTGCTCCTTGCCTACCACACCCCATCCCAGGGTCCCCCTGCCTCACCCCTACTTTCTTTCCCACTCTGTCTCACTGCCTGTCCCAGGGGGTTTGTCACCCCAAGCCCTGTTCTTTGTTGTTCCTGGTTGCCGGTCATTGAGTTTTCCTTCCTCCTGTCCTTCATCCTTAGCCTCTCCCAGCCTGCAGCAGGCGGCGTACCAGAACCTGATCCTGGGTTCCACCCTGCAGGTGACCAGCTACCTAATTCCTTTGTCACTCAAGGTGACGTCTGACCTTCATTCTTCTTCTTCTGGCATCTTGTCTTTCCCTCGCCCCAAATGGCAAGGATATGAAAGCCCACATCTACTTTAGTCTGCTGGTCCTCGGCTCCCCGGTTAGCATCCTCGAGGGATGGAGAAGCGGCCCTGAGGTAGAGGGTAGAGAGCAGTGAGCAGACAGGAGGCGTGAGCCTGGCTCAGAGCCTCAGCCCTCCCTCCGAGTCCAAGCAGCAGACAAATGGGTCCAAAGCAGGAGGATTTTTTTTCTTTTTTTCTTTTTTTTTTTTTTTTTTTTTTTTTGGCAACAGCTCCTAACTAAGGTTGCGGAGGCACAGCTAGTAGTATTGACAGAAGTCACGGGTGGATCCCTGGTGGCAGAGGCAGTGTCTCCATCAGACCCTTGCCTCCAAGGGGGACGGGTCAGGGTCCCTGACTTTGAGTGCTTTAAAGGCTGGAAGGTGGCCCAGAAGAGAGGAGGTGTGGGCAGGGACGGAGAAGGAGGTGGCAGAGGCCGGCGCTGAGCAGCCGCCCCGTGCCATCACAGCTTGGCACCCTTGGAAGGCTCTGAGGACTGCCGCACGTCTGTCCACTCCTGCATGGTGTTCTGCAGGGCCTGCGTCTTCTCCTTGTCCACTTGGACGTAGTCTACCTTCTCGTCCGAGGTGACAGATGAGGTGGATGGCTGAGGGGACAGAAGGGACGGACGGACTTTGTGTTACCCATCAGGACTGCACTGTGAATGGCTTCAAGGGAGACAGGACCTCCATGTCTTGGATTGTTCCCTGAATCCCTCTGTAATCATAAGCACTCCGTGTGGGTGTATCCCACGGCAAGGAGATGGGCAAACTGAGGGAACTGGTGCCCTGAACCCCTAGTTAAGGTGCCGTGAGTCATAGGAAATGTCCCTGGCATGGGTCTCCTAGTCCCCACCCTCCAGTTACCTTGCGGTGAGGGCTCGGGGAGCCGGGCTGGAAGTCCAGGGCTAGGTAATCCACACTGCCGGCGCTCTTCTTCGGAGCCGGGCTGTTGGTGCCGCTGGGAACGGGGGACGCAGACACTGGGTTTTGCTGTGACAGAGAGGAAAACTGGGTAAGTTCAACAGCCCAAACTGTCACCTTGAAAACGTACCAGGGTAAGAGCTCCCGAGTCTACTGAGCCATGCATGGTGACTTTTCATATTCTCATTTACGTCTTCGTGGCAGTCTGGGAGGTGGGTATCACTACTGTTCAAATCACTAAAGGCTAAAAACCTAGGTTCAGGAGGGACAGCAAGTCAACCACACTGGCACAGCGGGTGTGGGATGAGAGCCGGGGATTTTTTTCTTTAAAAGATGGTTTATTTTTTTCTTTTTTTGGTGCATTGATATTTTGCCTGCATGTATGTCTCTGTGAGGGTGTCAGATCCCTTGGAATTGGAGTTATAGTTACCCCGAGCCATCCCTCCAGCCTTCAGGGATGTTCTCTGATGCCTGCCTCTCTTTAGAAAGACTCGGGGTGATGCTCAGGTGCTGTCTCCCCGGAAGGCCCAGCCTAAGTTTGCAGGTCCCTGATTAGCAACTTTGTCCCCCACGTGAGTTTCCTATCACATCTGGTCACAAGCAGCAGGTACCCTCTGCTCTTCTCCACAGGGACCTGAGCAAGTCACCTTGTTTCTGGGTGACAGAACTTCATTTCTTCAGCTGCTTATCATGTGAGAGGTTCTGGGGCCGCATCTCCAACTTTGTATCTAAAACGTGCCCAAGGTCTGATTGTAGTAAGGAGTGACAGTCCCATTTAAATGTCTGATCTGTCTGAATCTCTGCAGCCTCGGAGCTGTGTCCTTTCCGGGGACCTCAGAGAGGGATCGTGTCATGCCGTGTGTGTATGTCTACTACTGCCACCACCACGGGGAGTTCTATACCTGCATGTCTCTCCAAGGGCACCAACCATGCTATCACCTGGATTACAGTAGTGAGAGAGGCAGGCCACCGCGGGTTTTTGAGATCTCCTTGGGGACAAAACTGCATCCTCCTAAAGGTGGATAACGACCCCTTGTTTGACATTCACACATTCAGGACGGGTCTGCAGGAGGAGGCTAAGGCCATCCCATGTGAGGCGGCCATGTCCTGAGGTGGGGCAAGGAGCGTCTGAGGACTCACCATAGGGACATAGTTCTCCTCGCTGTCTCCCGAGTCTGTGCTGGTGATGCTTTGTGTGGAGATGGGGCGGCAGTACTGGGAGGAGGTGGAGTTGAAGGAGTGGCTGTGGGGGCAGAGAACAGAGTGAACCCCGAGAGCCGCACTACTTACACCCTAGACCTGGGCTGCCAGAGCCCAAATGTAGGGAAACTTAAAGCCATTTCTCCTTCATAGATGAGGAAAATAATTCCTAATAGACAGCAGAAGCTGGTTGGCATCTGGGAAGACCCACACTGAATGTGGGGCTGGATGGAACAAAAGCAGCCCCCAGGACAGGCATGCCTGCTGACTGCCCTACCCTTCTTAATATGTTTCTGCCTTGCCACAGGCTTCAAATGAGCCAGATGACCACAGCTTGTTTACACCATGTTTTGTGAGAAAGACCAGAAACTGAGTCCTGCCCTGATACAGCATTAGCATCAAAACCCTGGTGTCCTGGCCCCTCCCCCCCATAGCTATCACTCAGTACTGACGAAGCTCCTGCCTCTATGGACACTTACTTGATCCTGGACCAAGACTTGGTGACAGGTGACTTGAAGGGGAGCTCATCGATGACAGCATTGTTTCTCAGGTCAAGGGGCGTTGGCTTTGCTAGGTAGCAACAGAGTACAGGGATGAGTAACTGCTACATAGACACGCTTTACATACACAAGCACGTTTACGAAGGCCACCGGTTTTATACAGGGGATTTGGTTTCAGGACTCCCGTAGATATCACAGTCCGGATACGCAAGTCCATGCCTTCACATCCTCTGAAGCTCGAGTCCTTCCCACTGTATCTACAGTAGGCAGACCTTCAGGATCCAAAATTGGATTCCTGGGTATGACAACAGATTCTCCCCAGGTTTGTGACTTTGTATCAGATTGTATCCAGAACAGAGACAGTCACAGTGACAACTAGAAAATCGGATTGTATCCAGAATAGAGACTGTTACAAAGATCACACTGAAGAGAAGTAAACAGCAATAAGCCTCAGCTTTACAAGTCCAGAGTCCAAATGGGTTAGACCCATGGACAGCATCTCTGCCCAACTTCCCTCCTCTTCCCTTTGAGTCCCTGCTGCTCAGCTACAGCCAGCAGAAATCCAGTTTGGACATTTTCCTGATCTCCATGCTGGTCATGGGCCTACTGCTACGCACACCTGTGGCAGACCATGTGACACACCCTAGATGTTTTCCTTAGAGACGAACCCCAAGTCTGAGTCTGTATTATCTGCACACAGCCACACCCACTACGTCCAGTAGACGCCTGGTCTCTTTAAGCCAGTGTTTTCCACACAGAATGGGGGAAAGAGTAGGGCTCACCTTTCCGGTCGGGCTTGAGGTTGCGATTGACCGGGGGTGGCTGGATCTCACTTCCTCGGCTGGGGCCTCGATGGATAGGAAGGGCAGTGGAGGGGTAGCCAAGTGGGTCAAAGTGGTGGGGCCCTGGGCTCATGGGGATGTAGACACTTTGGGAATTGTCCCCTGCTCGTTCCATAGCCAGCAGGGTAGAAGAACCTGGGTTCATGGGCACGTAGTTGTCATCAGAGCTGGTACTGTCTGATCGACCCACGATAGTCTTCCCTGGCTGAAAAAAAAAAAAAAAAAACAGGGAAAGACCTACTTGTAAGTAGTGAAAAGGTGAGACTCTGTACAAGCTGAGCAGTTTGTGGGTTAGCTACACTGGAGACCCTGTGAAGACCAAATAAGGAAGGAGAGTGGGAACTGAGGCAAGCTGAGCTCTGCAAGTTCCTTCTTGCTTTCATGACCTCTTAGGAGCCATCTATAATTTCCGATAAGATTTAAGTACAAAACTCTGTGGATACTCAAGCCTACGGCTTGTGGCTAGGAATATTCAAGTTCTAGATGCCTAGCTAGTTCAGGTCAGAAATAGCTCAGGATTCGCCACAGGTAAGTCAGTCTAGACCCTGGCCAGCATTCAGTGGGCCCGGGCTCATCCTGGACACCTAGGTCATAGCAGGTTGTAGGTAGAGCAGTCACCAGACCTGCGTCCACAGCCATCCTCCAACTCTCACCCTATCACACGACAGAACCTCTGCCTGCACTGACCGTCTTCCCTGGCTTTCCAGCGGGCTAAGCCCTGATCGGCTGGCTTCCAACCTGGATGACTTTGGTCAACCCATTCCAGAGGCAGCCTGGGGTCCTTGCGTCAGCTGCCATCACCTTCTGTGTTCCTATGCGGCAAGCCAGCTGGCGAGCAGGGCTGCGGCCTTAGAGGAAGGACTCTCTGCATCAGATGAGGGTACCAATTTCATTTGCCAGTAGACACCTCCCTAGGATGTTGGACTTTGACAAGTAGGCAGATCCTGAGGGAATTACCATCGTTCTTTGGGTGGCATGCTTTCAGTCACATGGGGTGTGGCTTCTTCTCGACCCTGACTGACCCAAGGGGCCCTGATCAAATCCCACCTCCCGGGAAAGGGTGATCATGCTCACTCACAGATTCGGCAGACCAGCTGGCGCTCTCCCCACTTCGTGTTGGGTACTCATAGGTCTCACAGGAGGAAGCTGTGAGGAAGGAAGGAAGATGGTTATCTCACACCGTTCCCCATGTTGACTCCCCTGTCCCTGTCCAGTGTGGCCATTCTCTTGATATTCCCAGATGTACTGCTGTGTCTTTGAGGGACAGGGTGTTGCTTGCCACTCACTCCTCTTGATCACAGATTCTGTTGCAGTCAGGTGCCTGCAGAGGGCCTCCTGACTTCAGCTTGGGTTCTCCTACTTCCTCCACCTCTGGGAATACTTTAGTAATGGCACTGAGACTAACTACATGTTAGTTTTCTTTTTCCAACAAGGGAGCTTTGAAAGGCAGGGGCATGCGCATGTGTGATACAGTTCCAGAGCGCAGGGTGACTGCTCAGATAGCCCGACTGACTGCCAAGCTCCAAAGTGGAGGCCTGGGCCCAGAGGCCTGAGGCTCATCAGGGCCGCTGTCACATCAGGGGGAGGAGAAGACTGTGCAAACTCTAGAGAGAGCTCATTGAACAGAGGGCATACGCAGAATTAGAATTCACCTGGGACAAGCGAGGCTAGAACTTAGGGGCTTCAAGTCAAAGTTCAGGCTACAACCAGCGATGTTGCTACGGCATAAAAATACCCTGAAGATAATTTTGTATTTTCTGTGAGTCCATATAGGTTTGGCTCAAAAAGTTTGCTAGTCCATCTTTGACTTAGTTTTAAATAGTTTTATCTGAGCCTCAAATATCTCTAAGGCAGAGTCTGCTTCACTTCTGCCAAGGTTGGTGTCACGCGGTCAGCTGGGCACGCGGTCAGCTGGGGACCGCATGGACAGTGCCTCAGCATGTGTCACTGAAATGAGTCCTCCTTAGGTTGAGCTTGGCTTAGGGGTGACCAAGGGTTCACCATACATGGAGAATGCCTTGGTCACCTCCCCGGCCCTCTGGTCTCAGCCAGGGATTGCACTGACCTCGGTGGAGTCGGCTGTTGTCCATTGCGGGGAGGGTATTGCGCCTGGGGATGGTAGCAGCTACGGATCTGCTATTTTCACCGATTGGAGGTCTTTGCTGAGGGCTGCCCCACCGAGGTGTTTCTGACTGACTTGGCTTGGGGGGCCGGGGTGGGGGAGCTATGGCTGAGTCTCCAGGAGTGGCTACCGTCATGGCATTGTGGTTCTTGTCCAGTGTGAACGTTCTAGGAATCTGGTAGGCTGAGAGGGGTGTGGTTGGAACATCCATATTGTCCACTAGGAGGTCTCCGAACTCCCGACACAGGGTGTTGCTGGGTGTCTTGAAGGTGTACACATCCTCATTATCTGTCTCGGACCCTGTGAGGCTGCCCTTGGTGTGGCTGTGAGAAGCCAGGCTACGGGGGAGGTCGTAAGTACTGTCTTTGAATTCCGTGTTGTGTCGGCTTGGCTTGGGGAGGCTGTAGAAGCCGTGGACTTGGCCGCTGACTCCGTTGATACAGTGTCCATTGCCCTGGGCAATTTTTTGCACGGCCGTATCACTCTTCTGCCGGGTGCCCTGAGAGAAGCTGGCACTCCTAAAAGAGAGAAAAGGGGCAATGAGGAGGAGGCAGAGGATGGCTCGAAGCATGTGCAGGTGGTTGGCGTGGGAATCCTGAGGCGTCAGACAGACCCGAGGTTGACCTAGTTACTACCACATATTAATGCATGATCTTGAGACTTCTACTTCCGGCATTTCCAACACAGCGATTAAAACCACACTATGAGAATTATTTAGGAAGTCAGCGCTAGTATCTAGCGTGTATATGCTCCAGCATTGTTAACTCCTGTGACTGTCCTTGGCAGGGAACAGGGTCATTCCTGGGCCCCAGAGATATAACTGAACCAGCTAAACCAGTCGTTTGAACTAGCACAGAGCACACACAAGGACAAAAGCCAGGAGACAGTGGCAAGTTGTGAGAGAAAGCAAGTCACATACTCTCTAAAAATACATAGGTAAAAGGAGTTCTATTTGGGAACTCTATTCAGGATAGACACTGGTATTGTTTTTATTTTAAAATAATAAAATATCTATTGAGGGAAATAGGAAAGGAATGGCGAAGAGGGCAGTCTATGTTAGGTCCTAGCATCGCTACTGACACACCCTGTCACCATCCATCATCAAGATGTTCTCCCAGATGTGACCGAGGAGGTCTCGGTGATGTCTGAGGGTCCACGTGAATCAGAGGCTCTAAGCTTCCCGTTTCACAAGAGTGTGGTTAAACTGGGTTCTGAGGAAGTGCTTTGAAGGGTGAGGTTTTCTCTCTCTCTGATCCTTCAGAGGATGTCATCTTGGTGGGGGTGGGGCGGGAGGAAAGAGATCAACCCCTTCAGCAGTAATTCTCAAGTCTTTTGTGGACCAGAGGTACCTTAGGAACCTAGTAACCCGCTCTGGGGGCTCTCATCAGGATAAGGTGCAGGGACACACCCAGACCTGTGTGTTCTCATGGGGTCATTGGTGGATCATCTGGTTTCCCTTGGCTCTGTTGCTGGGAACTGGCAACAGTGTGGTCACCAGGTGGTGGTAGAAAACAGTACCCAGAAGCTTAGAAAGATGAAGGGAACCAGGTATGTAGGCCATGTTCCCCTTAACTTTGGCCATTGGTGGCCAGGGAAACTGTTTCAGCCCTCAAATATTTACCAGCTTTCCCCCCAGGTCTGTCTGTCTGTCTCTGTGTGTTTTTCTCCCATTCCAGTAAATTCCAAACACATAACCAAGCTAGCACCTAGGGCCCAGGACAGCTGAGCATCAGAGCTGAGGCAGGAGAATCGATGGCAGATACAGAGTGTGTTCATATTGTCTTCTGTTACTGTCTTTGAATTTCCAGCCCTGGGCCAGATGTCCTCGTTTGATTTGGTTATCTGAGAAACACTGGCTGATGTCCTCCTTCCTGTCTAGGCCAGACAATGGATCCAGGGATGCCACCTGCTGTGGGCTTGGAAACCGCTCTGATCCAGTCTGAGTCTGCCTGGTGGTGGCGCCACTGAGTGCCAGGAAGGCTTCCTCCCAGGCCTCACGTGAGTGAGAATGGAAAGACAGCAGCAAGACACACAATGCAGGCAGTCCAGCTTCTGACACAGCTTGGCACGTTTAAGGACCCATATGCTGCTCGGGCTGGAGGAAGCATGCAGAAGGTAAGGCAGGCAGACGGACAGACACTGCATGATCTCACTCGTATGCAATCCAAATCACTTATTTCACAGAGGCAGGGCCACCACCATCATACACAATAAAGTCACGCAATGGTAGCTGTCAATGTAAAAAGTTCAGTTAGTTTGGTTTAGCTCTATAAAAACATCTGGTAGTCCAGGGAGACTCCGAACAGTGGCAGAACATCACAGGTGTCCTGCAGTAACAACGGGCACATTCCAGAATGGCTGGTCCCCTTCCTGCCTTGACTCTCGGTCTTGGGAAGCCAGAATCGAGGGATTACCCATCCTGATCTATCAGGACTTTATGGCGTCCAGGACCCTCTGGTCACCTGCATCCTGTTGATACTTCCCTAGACTAACCATCTGTCATCAGTACAGTCTCAATGACGTAGGGCTACACCCCAGCCTTTAGATTTATTTCTGTCTTATGCTCTAGGGTGTCCTCATCAAATTTGCTATCCATACTGGACCCCCACTGCCTTGCCTCCCAATTGCTGGGATTATAGGCAAATGCCACCAGGCCCAGCTGACCCTTTCTCCTTTTGGTCTATCGTATCGAAATCTTTGTTCCTTCATGATTTTCCCCTTGCCCAAGACAGGGTTTTTCTGTGTAGCCTTGGCTTCCTGGCACTAGTTCTGTAGATCAGGTGGGCCTAGAATTCACAGAGATCCACCTGCCTCTGCCTCCCGCATGCTGGAATTGAATTAAAGACATGTACCATCCAGCTTAGTTTTTTTTTCAATTTTTATTTCTATAGTGCTGTAAATAGTAAACCAGGGCCTTGTAAATGTTAGGTGGACATTCTACTCTGAGCTACATTCCTGGCCAAAACCTTTCTCTTTAGACACCATGAAGTTAAGTTATGTTCCACGTTTCCTCTGCCTCAGAATACTCCTCTGTAGCTCTTAAGAAGTCACTTGGACCATCTTCTAGTACCAGTTCCACATCACTCCCTTCTCTGATGAAAGAAAGCTATGCACCACGATCTGTAAAAACGAGATGATCTTTGGGGATGGTGATAGAGCTTCTTCCCCATGAATGCCTGCACTCTGTACTCAGCAGGTAGAGACTGGAGGATCAGGATTTCAAGTTAATCCTTAGCTTCTAAGATCCCAGGAATCTTGCTGGGAGAGCAGAGAAAGGAAGGAAGAAAAAGAAAGTGGGGCTATCTATCTATCTATCTATCTATCTATCTATCTATCTATCTATCTA